TAAATTAAGACAACAATCAAATGAATAGAAAATGTGTTGAGATTTGAATCAAATGTTTGTTTGGATTTTGTGTCAAAACTTTTTCAATGATTCAATGCATACAATGAATAACGTGTGACATATAGTAATCCCCTAAACAGTGTTCACAATGTGTTTCAATGCATTCATAAATCCGTTATTCAAAGCATTCAACACATTATTGATTAACATTAAAACACAAATAAAACATAACGTAATGTTAAATCACTTTTAAAACTTTTTTACTTTTCTTTAGGCATACAATTCATACCAATACTAAAACACAAACACATTGTAAGGATTTAATTGTTGTAATTTATCATTAATTTCAGACCCCCTGACCCTCACAACCCCTCCCAACGCCTCCCCATCCGTCCCCCACTCTCTACCCCCTATAAAGTGCCAAAAATGATTGCAATATTGACTGTAAATGCAATGCAATAAAAAGCAAATTATTTTGTGAGTGAAAGTGGTTTTGGTTTTGAACTGTATTTTGTATTACAAGACTGTAGTAGTGATGAACAGATCCACTCTTAACGGCAAACGCGGCCGAAGTGGCCATAAAGTGAAGCTCAACTCACTTCTCAGGCGGGGATTGAAGCGCACAAAACGGGACACCAGTGATCATCGCATGTCCTCCGATGACAAGTGAGTGATGTTTTTAAAGCCATAAATGCGTTAAACGTTTATCTCTCCTCTTCGGCACCGATTGGGACACCAATAGTGACACCGAAGTGGACGACAGTACGAGTGTTTCGCCAACTGTTCCGCCGCAGACACGGAGCACATCTATGGCCACAACAACGGATCCGTACGTGACTTTTAGCGCCCGTTTTATTGTTGCGGTTATTGTTTTGAATGTCAGATATGTTTTGCCACAAACAGAGAGTCGGACGACGACATCGAGATCGTGGCCGTCATCTCCGCGCCCACCGCTCAGACCACAGGCGCCGCCACTGCCGGCCCATCAATCGCATCACTTCCGCCACCAGTATTATCATTGCCGCCCGTAGTATCGTCACCGATGTCTTCGCCATCATTATCGACATCAGTGACAACCGTAGACACAGCCATACAGTCGGTGGCGGTCGCGCAGACCGTACCTAATGAGGGACGACGGCTGTCTGTGGTGTCGGACACCATCAACCCTACGGTAACACCAGTTCCCTCCGACACTGAAATGGATCCGGACATCGATGACAGGTATGTCTTCATATTGTGACCGATTTAACACTTATTGTTGATTTAGCGGTGATTTGTTATACGCGTCCGACGATGACCTGACGGCCGACGGACAATACAGCGACACT